TTTAGTGTGAAAGCTTTCAGTTTTTGTCCATTTAGTATAATGTTGGCTGAGGGTTTGTCATAGATAGTCTTCATAAGATTGAGTTAGACACAGTGTATTCTGAGTTTCTGAAGGGTTTTTCTCATGCACGTTTGTTGGACTTTATCGAAAGCTTTTTCTGGATCTATTGAGATGGCCAGTTGGTTTTTGTTTTTGGCTCTGTTGATATGGTGTATTACATTCATTGATTTGTGTATGTTAAACCATTCCTGCATTCCTGAAATGAATCCCACTTGGTTGTGATGTATAATATTCTTGATGATTTGCTGCATTCTATTTGCCAGCATTTTATTGAGAATCTTTGCATCAGTGTTCATTAGTGAGATTGGCCTATAGTTCTCCTTTTTGGTTGGATCTTTCTCTGGTTTTGGTATCAGAGTAATACTTGCCTCCAGGAATGCTTTAGGGAGGATTGCTTCCTTTTCAATTTCATTAAATAGTTTAAGGAGTATTGGCATCAAATCTTCTCTAAATTTCTTGTACAATTCAGCCGTGAATCCATCAGGACCTGGACTATTCTTTGTTGGTAAGTTTTTAATTATATTTTCAATTTCAATGGCTGATATTGGGTTATTCAAAATTGCTATATCTTATTGGTTAAGCTTTGGTAGTTCATGTTTCTAGAAAACTGTCCATTTCCTCTGTGTTTTCCAGTCTATGTGAGTAGAGATTTTCAAAGTAGATATTCATGATCTTTTGAATTTCCATGAAATCTGTAGTAATTTCCCCCTTTTCAGTCCTTATTGCATGGATTTGGTTTTTTTCTTTCTTTTTCTTCATAAAGTTAGCTAGAGGTTTGTCAATTTTGTTTATTCTCTCAAAAAGCCAGCTTCTTGATTCATTCTTTGTATTGTTTTTTAGTTTCAATTGCATTGATTTCTGCTCTAATCTTTACAATTTTCTGTCTTCTATGAGCTTAGGGTTTAACTTGTTCTTCTTTTTCTAGAAGTTTGAGATGAAACATTAGGTTGTTTATTAATGCTCATTCTATTTTCTTGATATAACAATTTATTGCTGTAATTTCCATCTTAAGATCACTTTCATTGCATCCCACAGATTATAGTATGTTGTTTCTGCATTTTCATTGAAATGTAGATTTTATTTCTTCTTTAACTTCATCTGTAGCCCACTGGTTGTTCAGAAGGTTGTTATTTAATTTCCATGTATTTATGAAGATCTTGCAATTTCTTTTGCCATTAATTTCCAATTTCAGTGCTCTGTGGTCAGATATTATGCATGGGATAGTTTCAATACCTTTGCATTTACTTAAGAATGTTTTATGGGATAGTATATGGTCTGTTTTGGAGAATGTCCCATGTGCAGCTGAGAAGAATGTGCATTGTGATGTGGTCAGGTAGAACACTCTATAAACATCTAGTAAGTCCAATTGCTCACAGGTATGATTCAGTTATATTATTTCTTTGCTGACTTTTTGTCTGGTTGATTTGTCTCTTTGTGACAATGGGGTATTTAAGGTTCCCTGATATAATTGTGTTCTTGTGTATTTGGTTTTTCATGTCCATTAGTATTTGTCTTATGTAATTGGGTATCCTTGTATTTGTTGCATATATATTTATAATTGCTAGTTCTTCCTCTTTAATTTTTCCACTACCGAGTATGTAGTGACCTTCTTTATCTCTTTTAATTATTTTAGGTTTGAAGTTCACATTGTCTGCAAATAGAATAGTTACCCCTGCTTTTTTCTGGGTTCCTGTTGCATGGAATACTGTTTTCCATCCTTTGACTTTTCTATGAGTTTCCTTTTGGGTCACATGTGTTTCTTATATACAGCATATTGTGGGGTCATATTTCTTGATCCATTCTGTCAACCTATTTCTTTTGATAGGTGAATTGAGACCATTTACATTTATAGATATCACTGATACGTACTGGCTCAACTTTGCTGTGATATGTTCCAGTTGTTTGCTTTCTGCTTTTCCCTTTTGTTTAACTGCTTGTCCTACTTGCGGATTTCTTTCTTTTGTTGTTCTGGAGATTGTGTTCATTTTTACCTCTATGTAGTATGTCTTTCAGTACTTTTTCTAGGGTTGATTTGGTGGACATGAATTTCTTCAGTTGTTCTTTGTCGTGGAAGTATCTTGTTTCTCCATTAAATTTGAATTAAAGTTTTCTGGATACATCAGTCTGGGTTGAATGTTGTTTTCTTTCAGGGCTTGAAGTACCTTGCTCCAAGCTTGCATTGACTTGAGGGTTTGTGCTGAAGTCTGCTGTGATTCTAATGGGCTTTCATTGATAGGTGAGTTGGGTCTTTTCTCTAACAGCTTTTAGTATTCTGTTTTTATACTGCATGTCTGAGATCTTAAGTATTATATGTCTGGATGTAGATTTATGTTGGTTGTGACTGTTTGGCGTTCTATATGCCTCACTTATCTGTATATCAGATTTTTCCCCATATTTGGGAAATTTTCTGCTATTCTGTGAATATTTTAGTTATGTCATTTGCATTGACTCTTGATCTTCACTGATGCCTATTAATCTTACATTGTTTCTCTTGGCATCATATTGAAGCTGCTGAATGGTCATTTCATGTTGCTTTGTTATTTTTAAAAGTTCTATCCTTTCATGATCACTAATTGTGATCCTGTCCTCAAGGTCTGAAATCCTATCCTCAGCTTCATTTAAACAGTTTTACCAGCTGTGAATAGAATTTTTTGTTTCTTGGATGTCTCTTTGGAGTTTATTTCATGAATTCTGCTTGTTTTCTATATTGTTCATTCAAGGTTTCAGTCAGTTTCCCATGCTCCTGTACTTTTTTCTCTATTTCTTCTTTAGCTGTGCTGAGCAACTCCTTTACTAAGGTTGTTATTTTTGTTTTTAAATAGGACAGTATTTCTAATTTGATTTCCTCTATAGCCTCATGAAATTGTTTTTTTATTTTACTCGCTATTTTTCCAAAGATTTCTGGCGTGTTACTTTTGAAGTCTTCTATTTTAATGTCTCCTGTAGTTGCTCCTGATGGATTAGATGTTTGAGATTGTATTTTGCTTTTGCATTTTGCATTTTCCCCTTTCTAGTTAATATTTAGTCCTTCAGTCACACTAGGGTCAACTGTTGGTAGGGTGTATCTTGGGGTCCTATTGTAAGGTTGTTATTTGCCCAATTGTTGGGTCCCACAATGAAGAGGTGGGCCAGTCACCTGACTTCCCCGTGCAGGGCCTGTTGGGTGAGTCCTATATTCTCCCTGGGCTGACAAGCCTAGTAGTATTTTTTTTTTTTACCCTGTTTGAAACTAGCCCACCTGCAGTACACCAGACTATAAGGCTGTGAGGCCAGCTTCAGCATTCCTTTCCCTCCTTTAACGACCACCAAGACCAGTGTTTAGATCCGATGGGACTGGAGGGTAAGCCTAGTAGTATTAATGTAGGTCAACTTTTAGTTCCTGCTGTTACTTTATCTTCAGATTATTCCAGGTCACCAAATCTCCCTGTCTATAGTATTTGTGTCAGGTGAGGCCCTACTGTGTCCCTGTTGTGTGCCTGTGTGTATTGTAAGCCTTTTTGACTTTCTCCAAGTTGGAGGTGTCCTTATTGGCACACTCCTCACCCTTCCTGGTGTTTTCTGTGTGCAGGAAGGAGTCACCCACATTCTTGCCAGACCCACCAGGTCTTATAAGTAGTTGGAGGGAGCTTTATGACTGGCCCTGTTTACCCACTGTACACCTCTCTTTTAGGGGCATACTCACCACACTGACTGGAGCCTGCTGAGATCTTCTGTTTGAGTGAGGCAGTTACTGAATCTCCCTTCAAGCTAGCACAGTTAATTCGCTGTACTCTAACGTTCTGGGAGAAAGGGTGGGAGCTGAAGATTAACATAGTATTAGGTCCAGAAGACGGGGAGTATTCCTGAGGGGCCAGCAGGTGTCTTGGGTCCAAGTGTCCACTGGGCGCACGGGAAGTACAGCAGAGCAGCATAGGTGGTCCTGGGCTGAGGGGCGGGTGGGTGGCATCAGTCCAGGTGTCTACGGGGCATGCAGGAAGTGCAGCATGATGGTGTATGTGGTCCTGGGCTAAGGGTCAGGCTGATGGCATCAGTTTTGGTGTCCACAGGGCGCTATCTTACTTTGAAGTCCTGTATTGCTTTCATGGTTTTGTTCTGAGTGAGTTCATTCTGTTTCATTCTCTTTGGTCCTATTCTACTTAGTGAAGCTGTAACTTCAACTGGTTATTGAAGTTGTAGAACAAATGCCAGGAGAAGCACAGGAGCATAGTAATTGGAGCCTGGTCGGGTCTTCTGTTTGGGTGAGAGGTCACCGAGTCTCCCTTCAGCTCAGCACGGTTGATCCACTGCAGTTTAAGGTTCTAGGAGGAGGAGGTGGAGCCGAAGATCAAGTACTTGGTCTAGGAGATGGGGAGGGTTGCCAAGGATAGTGGCTGTTGGCATAGTAGTCCTCCAGGTCAGCAAGAGTCGTGTCAGAAGTGCACAGAGAAGCGGGCCAAGGTCCAAGGGTGATGTGGTGCTCTCAGTGCTCCCAGTCACCCAGGAAGTACGGGCCAACAGCTTTCATTTTATTTGATTGGTTTGTATCAGCCCATGCAGCACAGAAAAGAACTTGTGGGGAATAGAAGAATGTCTTAGATATGAAGCAAAGATTACCTATGAGAAAATTAGAATGGATAATAGTTATAGCAAACAATTATGCTTTGCTTGCTATATGTCAGGTGTTTTTTTAATGCTTTATATGTACATATAATGTAATCTGTACAACAATCCTATAAAGGAGATTGTATGGCTGTCGCCATTTCTTTGACGAAACAGATACTGTGAAGTCAGTGATCTGAAATCACACAATATATACATAGAGTGGTAAGTATCAGTTGCACTCCCACGGTTTTGACACTGCAGTATTCTTCTAGACATGTTGTTACACAAAATACACAAGTATCTGGTGCAAAAGCTCTAGATGATGCAACAGATGCCTCACAGTATGTAATCTGTTTCAGGTGAAGATTCGGAAAATGACTCTGATTTTGATGAGAGTGAAGATAGCGAGGAAGACTTCACTATGACAAAAAGTAAAGTAAAAGAAAATAAAAAGAAAGAAGTGAAGGTAAAATCCCCAGTAAAAAAGAAAGAGAAGAAATCTAAATCCAAATGTAATGCTTTGGGTAAGCTTGGTGCAAGACATTTAATTTTATAAAGGAATGTGTTTGATTTGTTTGCTGTATTTTTCTTTAACATTTTGCTAATGTTCATTTCCTGTTAAAATATAAAAGGATGCAAGGTAGAGGTGGAGCACACTAACTAGGTTAACAGTGTAGTACCTAGTGTGTCTGACCGGCCTAAAGGTTGGTCCCCAGCACCCCTGCAAAATGATGGGGAAAAAGTGAAGGCTCAGAGGTGATGTGTTTGTTGGAAACCTTGCCTCTTAGACACCAGGGTTGTCCACTCAGTTCTGGCTCCATATGCTCCCTGGACAAATTAAACAGGGATGTGTGGTTCTTAAGTTTTAGCTTTCATGCCTGACCAAGTCTTTTGAGAGTTCCTTTGCCATGCTTTCTGCTTTTTAGGTTTTCCCCCCAAAATAGATCCAATTAGAAGCCACTTTAGAATAACTTTGTGAATTTGTTGTGAAGGAAGTTATAACATTTTTTTAATTCATTATGTATTATGGATTATTGGAGTTCTTTGCTTTTGCTTCATTTTGTTTGTTTTACTGGTATACATTTTTCTGCCTTAGTTTTTAAATATATATTTGTCTGAAATTAAATTTTTCCTGACTCAGATTGTGTTTAAGTAAGAATTCCTCTCACCCTTAATAACATGGTGCTGAAGCAAAATTTAAATACTAATTGAGACATACTCTTCCCTCTGCTATATGTTGAGTTAATGAGGTTTTAGTTCGATTTTTAAAAAATTACTAACAAATATCGGTGCTTTCCACAAATTAGATTTTAAATATAGAAACTCTAAGAGATAAAATATGTATTAGTTTCCTATTGCTATTATAATAAATTAGCACAAACTTAGTGGTGCTAATTTATTCAAACATGTATTTGTGTTTTATAGTTCTAATATGCAAAAATGCCCAAATCTATCTGTCTGCAGAGCTTATTCCTTTGCCTGAGACCTTTAGAGAATCCCTTTCCCACCTTTCCTGCGTGCTGTGGCTCAGCCCAGTTCTGTCTGGCTCTCTCGCATTGTGTCGTTCTGTTTCTCACCTTTAGGTATTTATAAGAACCTGGGGATTACACTGCACCCATCCAGACAGTTCAGAAGGATCTCACCAGTCTCTTTGGGGACTCTGTAGAGTCCTTTTTGCATGTAGGAAACATACTCACGTGTTCTGGAGGTTATAACCCAGACATATCTTTGAGGGGCCGTTATTTTGCCTACTATAAGAGATAATGTGAAAAAGTCATTAACAGTATGAATATATATTTATATTTCCTTTATATATTTGTGTTTCTTCACTGAGACACACTTAAAAGTTCAGTTTCCAAGTTGAAATTTGCCATTTGAAGCCTTTTCTATATACCTTGAGGCAAGTTGCTTCGTAAGGGACCTTAATATATAATATTGGAAGTAAAATTTGTTAAGTAATAGAATTAGGAATTAGTCATACTAATGTGTGAATAGCCTTTGAGAGTCTTTCATTCAGCACACATTACTTTCCCTTGATAGAGAAATTTTGAAAACAGCACTGTCCAGTGTGGTAGCCACTAACCACGCGACTCTATTTCATTTAAGTTAAAATTAAACAAAATTTGAAAATCAGCTTCTCAGTTTTGCTAGCTATATTTCAAGTACAAAGGAACTCTGTGGCTTCCACATCAGCCAGCACAATGTAGGAAATGTCTGGTGTCACAGAAAATTCTGTTGCACAGAACTACAGCAGGATACAGATGTAACATTAGGAAGAATACATAGTGAAATTGTTCCTATTCATACTCACTTAAAAAGCAGTCCTTATCTGAAAATGAGTTTATATTCCTCATCTTAATCTACCCTCACCCTCTCCCAGACTCCTTTGCACAGTCTGCAAAGTTCTTCATCAATGACTGTGCCCTGTCTGTATCTGTTACTTTCTCCCCCAGTACTGACTTTGGAACTTCTCATTGTCTGCTCCTTCTACCTGGAAAACTTGCCTCAACTCCTGTCTTGGTTTGGCTCAACCATCTCACCTACTTTCCTATGACTTCCAAATACATGTACCAGATACGAAGTTCCCTTTACTTCTATTGTGTGGCATGCTCCTTAGCAAGCTGCATTAGACAACTCTTTTCTTTCCTGACCTTCCCCCTGGAGCCCCATGAGAGGAGCATAAATTTCTTGAGCGCAGGATCCATGAATTATATATTTTCTTTGTAACTGCAGAGCCTACTATGACACTAATGTGACCCTTGTGAAGTGGTCGTAAGTATAGAGTTTAGAGTCAAGTCTGTTTTCTAACCTAGCTTAGACACTAGCTGTCAAAGCACGGGCTAACTGCTTAATTCTCTGTTTCCTTACCTAGCAGTGGACATAGCAAAGCCTGCCTCCAAGTTGTAAAGGGTGAGAGGTAACAAATGTGAAATCACATTGCCTGGCTTGTAAATGCCCATAAAAGATGACTATCCTAGGGCTGGGGATTTAGCTCAGCGGCATAAGCGCCTGCCTTGCAAGCAGGCAGTCATGAGTTCGATCCCTGGTACCAATAAAAAGGAAAAAGACCAAAAAAAAAAAAAAATGACTATCCTTAGGCTTTTGATAAATATTTATTGTCTGATAAGAGTTTACCAAGTTTATATTGCCTTTTTAATTTTTCATAAATTATGAAACTTTGTAATTTTTACACATATATGCTATACTAGAAGTTTATCTTCTTATATAACAGACTTCTTTATGTATATTTTTCAAATAAGTGACTGTAGTAGACTCCTCTCCAGCTACAATCAAATCAGAATCTCAGTCCTCAGCAAAGAAAGTTTCTTCTTCAGAGGCCACTGGGAAGCCATTGCAGATATGTAGTCCTTCAGCTGAAAGCAGGCGACCAAAGTGGGTCCCACCAGGTATGGTATATTTATGGTCATGGGCAGGGGCTTAGCAATTTTCCTAGTGATGAAGTTTCTCCTCATTAATGTTGCATATGAGCATTCTCCTATATTATTGCACATTCTTCAAAACCAATGTTTTTAGTTGCTAGGTTATTATCATTTAAACACTATTATTATTAGGCAACCAGGTTGTATACAATTTATTCATTATAAATAAGGTTGCAACAAAAATAAACATCCTTATTTTAGAAATCTGTCTTCATTCCTATTTTAGTAGAATAAAATTTCTAACACCTCTGTTTCTTGAGGGCCCACATTCTATTTCTTTATATCTTCCTAATAAATCCTTTTTAAAAATTTTTGCTAGTATGATTACAGTGTCAAAGAGTATGAGAATTGGGGATTCCTAACATACACATTTCTGGCAGCAAATCTTTAGCCCAGGACCTGCTGGTCTCCTCGTTTTTACTGAAGCTTTGAGGCCTATCCATGGCGTACTAACTACTTAGCTACAAAGAAGGATCTCATTGAGGCTTTTATAGGTAAATGGTTGCAACTAGAGACCATACTTATAATCGAAATAAATCAGACTTGCATGTGTAAACAGCAGTTGTATCATCTCCCTAGTGTAAGAAACTGAAAGAGTAAATAAGATCCAAAAGGTATCATAAATATTGTGAAAGGACAAAAAGCTACTCAAAAGGAAAAGTAGGATGGGGGAAAGGGGAAAAAACAATTACGTAATTACGTGTGTGTATATGATAGCTAAGATAATTGTACTACTAATACTAATAGTTCATGCCTAGGAACAGCTAGTGTGTGTGTGTGTGTGTGTGTGTGTGTGTGTGTGTGTGTGTATTGTTGTTGTTGTTTGTTTTTGAGACAGGATCTCACTGTGCAGCTCACTTTGTAGCCCAGGCTACATGCAATGATCCTCCTGCCTCAGCCTCCTGAGTGCTGGGATTACAGGCATGTACCACCATACCTGGCAGTTAGTGCTTATATTGTTTGATCAATTTTGCATGTCTATATCTGGTAATCTGAGCAACTATTTTGAAAATAACAATTTGCAATGTAAACCAATGTTAATTTCCTACCATCTTTGAAATCATATCGTTTTTGTTGTTTTGTCTTTTTTTTTTTTTAATCTTGCAGGACTTTAAATTAGATTTTTATATTACTTTAGAAATTATACTTGGATACATTTCTTTATGCATGTACAAGCAATGTTATTTGCTCCACGCTTTCTTATTTCAGTTGTCATGGTTAAATTTTGGCTTATTAGCTTGGCCTCTGGATGGTAAAACGGTTTGGTTATCCCTTACTCAAAGTGTTTGGGACCAGAAAGTATTCCAGATTTCAAAGTTTTTAGAGTTTGAATTTTCATATTAACTTATATTCCTTCTGCTTTTAAGTACTTGCCATGCTTTGCTTTAGTTTATTCCTTGATAGACCCTGGAAAGCAGAGTGATGGTTAACTTTTTTCGTCTTCCTGATTGAAAAAAATTAATCATGGTTAAGAGATTTCTGACATCAGTGTTCCGTTTTCTGTTCCCTTTCAGCGGCATCCGGAAGTAGCAGGAACGACAGCAGCCCACTGGCAGGTGTGACTGTCAAGTCCCCAAGTCAGAGTCTCCGCCTTGGCTTATCCAGATTAGCACGAGTTAAACCTCTCCATCCAAGTGCCGCTAGTAGCCAAGTGTGGTAACAAAGAAATGTTGGTCAAGAGAATCAGTTTTGCAAGTGTGTTTATAGTTGACTTGTATTTATAATTTTGAAGGGAGTGGTAATATAGAGGAGTTCTATAACATGTCATAGAAATGATCTTTAAGCTAATGATCCTCTGAAAAGCTCTTCAGGACTTCGGGAGAGGTTTATTTACAAATTATGTTCTCACACCATTCCTTCTGAAGAGTATACTCTGCTTTCTTATGTATCATAAGTCACTGTCATTAGTCAGTGGCAGTTTTACGTAGAGGAAGTCCATATTGTCTGTTGGTGTGATGTTCCTCCCTAGTCCTGTCTAGTTATGACCATCATTTCTTTTAGGAGACATTTCTAAAATCTGTAAGCTACATTGTCAGTTTTATTGCATGAAAGTTTTATATTTTGTCCAAATCCTATAGTAAAAATTAGAACTGTTGTACATATTAAAATGGTTACTGTATTATAGAATGTATCTCTTATTTGGAAACAGAAGGTTATTGTATAGCAGATAAAATTTAATGACATTTTATAAATTCTTCACTGTCAAAAATCTTAAATAAAAGAAATTTTCAGAATCCTCTTTTCCTGTTTCTAGTTGTCTACAGTTTATGATAAAATAAAAACAGTACAAAGAATGTTAATCTTTTTTGTTGTAGACACAGCCAAAGGGAAACTTTTTTTTTTTAAAGTAATCATTTTATATTAATACTTTAAATACTGGCTTTGAAATATATAGTTGCTCTGTTAAATAATAGGTTTTTAGGAAACTTCAATTTCAGTTATGAATAAAAATAGTAATGAATATATTTATGGTGAGAATTTGAAACTGCTCCTGGTTACTTTTTAGTTTAAAAAAAAATCAGTTGTTAACCTTAAAAAGTGTATAATACACAACTCTTGCTTTGTGGAAACATCTGTGTTAACATGAAATTAGTAATTTTGAGTTATGATTAAATAAGCACTTAACTATTACTATTGTGTACTTTTTTTTAACCTGATAGACATTTTTATGTTATCATCTATCACCTTACCTACTCTACCCAGCCCTGTTTTTAAAACACACTTTACAGTTACATAGCATTGGATTTGTCTATATGGTATAATTCAACAGTGAACACTAGGAACCCACTCTAGCAGCTTCTGGTATCATTGACTACTTATTTGGCACCAGCTTAATAAAGTTGCTTTTGCCTTATGCATATTAATTGTGTCTATTTGAATTTACCTCTAAGTGTGTTAAAATTGGTCTGGATGATAGAGTTTATAATTTTCAATTGCCAAGCCTCAGCTGATGCTACACACCCTATTCCCTTATTAAAACATCTTTTCCTCTGGCTCACGTGATGTCTTTTGTAATTCTCTCCCCGCCTCCCTGCCTACTCTTCATTATTTTGCAGCTTCGTAAGCTTTCATGTCACCGACATTATATCTCATTCTGTGCAGTTTCATTCTTTCCCCCTACTCCCCAGCCACTTTTTAGTGTAGATGAGTTCAAACTTCAGTGGTCCCCTCTTTGACAGTGGTTACCAAACCAGGCTGTTTGGCCCCCATCTTGCTCTTGCCACAGATCTGTTGTGTAGTAGCTCAGTCTTCACGTCCCTGCCACCCTACTCCTGACATCTCCCCTCCTGGAAGGTTTCCTGTTAGTTGATGGTACAACCGTCTACACAGGGGCCTAAGGTGTAGTCCTAGGACTTGGTGTATTTTCCCTCACCCTTCACGCTCAGTAACTAAACTCTTCCATTGTCTGAATTTCTCAAAACTACTCTTCCATTTGCTCTTACTCTAAAAGTACATCCTTTACTCTAACCAGCATTCTTGCCTTGGTTTCATGACTATGCTTGCCTACACTCCACATTGCTCCTGCCACAGGAGGTCTCTAAAATAAGATCTAAGCTCAAACACCCCTTGCTTAGCTTAGGGTACCCACACACCTCAGCCCATCTAGTTCTCAAGCTACCTCTGGCCGACCCTCCCTTGCTCTTCAGTTTTGTCTCACTCCTAGTGCTGCATACTGAGGGCACCAAGGTTTGCAGGTCTCTGGAGACTAACTTGCTTTCCTTGCATGGTTTAGACTCAGATTAACTCGGCTTCGCTTGTCTTTTCTCCCTGCTCTAATCTGCACTCTGGGACAAGCTATCATTGGGTTACAGCTTTCCTTCCTAGGTGTTCCTAAAATCTGGTACAGACTGAACACTCAAATAGTGTTCATCTGATGAGTAAATTAAATCTGGAATTTTTGTTACATACCACCATGTACTTGTTTGGAAAAGAGGAATGAGAGAATTCCATGTGTCTGTCCTGCGGTTTCATTCATTTCACTGATCCATCAAAGATTGGGGTAAGGGAAGGGGGTAAGAGGAAAAATATTTAGGCTGATGTGAAAAGCTGTCTGGGACTAGACCAGAGCCTAAGCCCATTAGCTCCTCAGTCACAAAAAGGGTGGAAATCGTTTCTATAGCGACGGAAGGAGGGTGTGGCTCTTTGCTGCTGAAGGGGTTCACTAGTCCTGACCAAAGCAGTACAGAGCCGTGGGCGTCTGCTGGATGCAGCTCCTCCCACCTGCTACACGAACCAAGAAAGAGTAAGAGCTTGAGCTTGGAATCGGACTGGTTTGCAGTGGATGTAACCCCGGGGCCAACAAGGGGTCCTTTGGGAAAAAAACATGGGGGCGCCAAGCGGGAGGAGGAGGATCGAAGGCTTACGGAAAGCGAGAAGTGGAAATGTGCACACCTGGGAAGGAAAGCACTATCTTAGATCTTGTTGCCAGCACGTGAATCCCCAGGACCCTGTCGATAGAACGTGGCATTGCAGACTCCAGGGGAGTACAGGAAAGAGGGAGGGGATTGTAGGGAGCTCCTAAGAACTACCCTGAAACTGAGCTTTCGTGCCCACAACCTGGGGCACGAAAATCGCAGATCCCCTTTGCTTTCATTGCATGTGTGCCTGGTGGTCATAGCAGCTCTGCGACATGCATCTGGCATCCACGAGCATCTGGTTGCATTAAGCACGTTCCCAGCCACCTCTTAGGCTTGGAGTCTGCTCAGCCAGAAGGCAACCCCTGACACAAGACGGGGTGAGGTGTGGAGGGTCCCACCTCCACAACATTTTGCTCTCAGCACTACTGGGAAATAATTTGGGAAATACCCAGTATCAACAATGTTTTCCTTTAGAGGGCGTGGAACAACACAAACAATTTAAAAGTCTAGTTACCTTGTGGCTTTGCTATGTTTGAAATGTCCATCACACCCCTTATGGCCTCTCCAACATGTTTTAAATGATTACCAGCATTGCCAATCTTAATTGAGGCTTGACTGTTCAAGCTTCAGTGGAGACTGGCCAGAGTACAAGGCCATTTAAATGGAAAGGCTCACACTCTCGAGCCACCTAATGTAAAAGTCTCTTGACTTGCTAGAGGGATTTAATCACTTGAGAGTGGTAAACTTGTGAAATCCCAGCCTTTTCAGGAATTTCAACATGGGTGAAGCATCATTGCCCTGGGACTGGAGCCTTCTCTAACTCAGCCCTTATTCAAAGAAAAGAGATAAACCTATAGGAAATGCAGAAAGTAAAGCAGAACACCCACAATACAGGCTGACCCCATCATGCCTGGGTTGCTATCTATCATAGGAGAAGGAATTTTCTTGTGTGCCTTTTTTTTTTTTTTTTTTTTTTTTTCCTTCTCTACAGTATTAGGGATGGAGTCCAAGGCCTCACGCTTGCTAGGTAAGCACTCTACTGCTAAACTACATCCCTAGGGTGGGAAAAGGGTTTGAAGAAAACCACAGAATCTTGAAGGGGGGTGGGTGCAAGGGGAGAGAAACAAGGTTTTTTTTCTATTTCAATTTTGAAGTTGAAAACTAGTAGAAACCGGGTGGATTTGTTCTCTGCACTTCACAGAGGATAGTAAGATATTTTCCTCGGTGTCATTCTTCTGCAAATAATTGTGATGTACCAACCCTCTGTAAAGTAATAACCAAGTGTGAAGGTAGACTTCTCGGATAATAGTGTGCTGTCAGAGGAATATTCCAGCACAGACAAGTGATTGTCAGTAATTATAGATAGGATTTCTGCCAGGGATGGGAAGACGGATGGGATGGTTTCCTAAAACCTCTTCCAGCTCTTAAGTTTGTGAATCACTGGACCGTGAAAAACTTCAAGGTTATAGGCAGAAGAGCAGAGGAATTCTCCTTGGTACAAGTGAATGTCACTTAAATACATTGTCTCCTTTTGGAAGAAGTAAAAAGGAAGTCCTTACCATCCCTACACAGCCACAATTTCTGCTCCTGAGGCAGCCCCCAGTGTAAAAGATGAAGCCACCACTGACAATTGCAGTAGAAATACTAAAGTCTAATAGGTAAATCTCCGAAGATATATGTCCTTTCTGAACAGTGAAGTACTGTATGCAACGAAAATGCCCATGTAAAAAAGACTGCAGTGTAGTATTGCTGGCGGGTTGGGTTGGTGGGTCCCCGCCAGGCTTCCAACTCTTTGAAAACAAGGATTCTGCTTTGTTTATCTCTGATTTCCCAGTTGCTGACAGTTGATGTTTTGCTGTTTTTTGATGAATTGAATTATATTGTCACAAGTTCCTCTTGAGGGCAGAGAATATGCCTTATTATAATTGTCTCAGTGAATGTTTGTAGAAACAAAGAGGGAGAAGGAAGGAAGGAAGGAAGGAAGGAAGGAAGGAAGGAAGGAAGGAAGGAAGGAAAAGGAAGTGTGATCATTAGCAGCAAAGCAACCATTACTTTGTATTTACTGTCGTGTGTGTGTGTGTGTGTGTGTGTGTGTGTGTGTGTGTGTGTGTGAAAATGAATGTTCCCATGTAGCTATGAACCATGAACCTGTAGTTACAGCCCACACGGGAAACTGAGGCAGAAGGATCAATGAGTCCAGGAATCCAGACCAGCCTGGCTAACAAGCCAAGACATTGTACTTTTAAAAGAAAACAAATTAACGTTCCCATTCACCTCCTCTGTTCCCACTCCTCAGAGATAATTGTTTCTTAAGTTATTTCTTCCAGATCTTTCACTATGTACGTATAAAAATAAACATTTTTATTAAATATGTAACATAATCTCTTACTACTTTTGCTTTGTAATTTTGAGTATACATAAAATCCACTTTGGTGTGCCACATTTTTTAACTTTCCATCGTGTGGACAAGTAAATACGTATTTTTCATATTCATGTTACTCTAAAAGTTCCCACATCTTCAGTCCTCTAAATCATTCCAAAGTTGTGGCGCTGCCATCTTTGCAGAGAGGGCCTGAGGAGAGCTCACCGTGGAGTGAACTGCAGAGGCAGCAGTAACTTTGGAGTTAATCCTTGCTCAGCCCCTATTTTTTATTTTTATTTATTTATTTATTTTGGTCTTTTTGAGGCAGGGTCTCTCTATGCAGTTGAGGCTGGCCTTGAGCTCACTTTGTAACCTGTGCTGGTCTCAAACTTGCAATGATACTCCTGCCTCAGCCTCGGGAGTGCTGGGATTACAGGCATGTGCCATCACACATGGCCCTATTTCTTATATTTGTTCATTCCCTTAATTGTTGCTACAGTCAAACTGAAAAAGGACTTTTCCCCTAATGTAACAAGGATTGCACCTGTTACGAGAGCCCTCGTAAATTCCCATTCTGCTCGTATGAATTAGAGTGTAGCCAGACTCCTTGACCTTACGCAGGGTTCCACCTTGCAGTGAGTCAGTTATTCATAGAGCTGTGCACTGAATGAAGAAAGGGGCGAACATGGCTACGTTGTGAGACCCTGGAAAAGTAGCTCTAATAACTCTCCCCCTTTTCTTTTTCTACATTAAATTATGGAAGCAGCTCCCAATTCAGCCTCATTGTAGAATACCGTGTTTGTAGCAAGAGAATGATGTACTTTTGCAGTGAGCTAGAGGAAATGATCTTCTGGCTACTGTTCTCTTCACTTGCTCACCATCAACTTCCTCTCCTCCTCCTCACCCTCTTCCACCTCCTCTTCCTCCTCCTCCTCCCCCTCTTCCCTGGCTCCTGCCCTCCAGCATTCTTCCTGCCCTCATCTGACCACCAGAAGGAAGCTAGATGATTAGACTCTGGCCATGTTTTGAGCCTGTTTTGGTTTTGTCCATCCCTGAGTACCTGGGCCATTACTTACATTTTATCTCATTTTTATATAATAAACTAATATTATTCATCCTCCCTTCCACAGGACTCAAA